GCAGCCCAATGGTATCAATGTGGATTTCACAAGCTTCAAAATCTCCCCTCCCCCTACCGCATCCCAAAACCAGTCCAGCTCGTCCCTGCCTCCCTAACCTGTTCTTCCTCCCACCTATCCCCTCCTCCCACCTCAAGCCGCACCTCCATCTCCTACCGACTAACCTCATCCTGCCCCTTTGACCTGTCCGTCCTCCCTGGACTGACCTATCCCCTCCCTAACTCCCCACCTACACTCACCTTTACTAGCCCCATCCCCGCCTCTTTGACCTGTTTGTTTCCTCTCCATCTATCCTCTCCTTTATCCATCTTCTATCCCCCTCCCACTCTCTCCCTATTTATTTCAGAACCCCGTTCCCCTCCCCCTTTTCTGATGAACGGTCTAGGCCCGAAACGTCAGCCTTTCTGCTCCTATGATGCTGCTTGGCCTGCTGTGTTCATCCAGCCCTGCACCTTGTTGTCTCACTTATATATCTAGCCCAGTTCAATTTCTTGTCAGTGGTGATCCTCAAGATGTTATAGACAGTGGTTCAGCAATAATAATGCCATGGAATGCCAAGGAACGATAGTCAGATTCTCTCTTGTTAGAGACGCTTATTGTTCACATGCCATGAATGTCACTTGTCACTAACCAGTCCAAGTAACAGTGTTGTCCAGATCTTGCTGCATTTGAACATGGACTGCTTGAGTTTGTGAGGAGTCATGAAAGGTGCTAAACATTGTGCAATCATCAGTGAACATCCCCAATTCTGACCTTATGATGGAGGGAAAATCATCAGGTCATAGAGTTTTACAACATGGATAAAGGCCCTTTGGCCTACTGTGTCCATGCTGGCCATCAAGCACTCTAATCCCATTTCCCAGCCTTGTATGCTGTAGAATTTCAAGTTCATCTGAATATTTCTTTGATAATGTGATGATTTTCACGTCTGCTACTCTTTCTGGTAGTGATTTCCAAGTACCTACAACACTTTTTATAAAAACTGCTTTCTCAAATCCTCTCTAACTCTCTCTGAAGAAGGGCCCAGACCCGAAACATCAGCTTTCCTGCTCCTCTGATGCTGCCTGGCCTGCTGTGTTCATCCAGCTCTACACCTTGTTATCTCAGACTCCAGCATCGGCAGTTCCTACTATCTCTCTAACTCTCTGCCCCCTTTCCTTAAAGCTGTATCACTGGATATTGACTCCTTTACAGAAGGGAGAAGTTTCTTTCCATCTACACTGTCTACATCCCTTGTAATTGTGTACACTTCAATCAGGTCCCTCTCAGCCTTCTCTGCTCGAAGGAAAACAACCTCAGCCTATCTAATTTTTCTTCAAAGTTAAAGTGTTCCATCCCAGGCAACATCCTATTGAATCTCTTCTGCACCCTGTCAAGTGCAGTCCTTCCTATAATGTGGTGACCAGAACTACACAGATGTGTCCTGACTAACAAACTAATCTGTGGAATGCCACCGTGGTCTATGGTGGTAATGGCAGAGGTGTCGACAGCCATCTGCCCAGTGAATTGCGGTCTCCTTTGGCTCTGTATATTGCGTGTTCAGTGTAGTGTCTTGTCCCACTTGGTGTGCTTTGTACCTGCCCTCTGGCACTCCTGATGCCAGAGGCTTGGCCTCTTCCTGGGCTGGCTTCTGTTCGATCTTCACCTCCAATGGCTTCATTTTCTGTGGGGTTATCACCCATTTCCAGCTGTACCGTCTCTGGGGACCAGGTAAGGTGCATGTGACCTTGCAACGTGCCTTAATAACCTGGCAATACTAGGAAGATGAATACCACTGGAACTGGTAATTTTTAAAAAATTCAGACTCCCCAACCAGACTCCCCAACCAGCGCCCCCTGCCAACATGTGATTGGACATTTCTTTTCTATTCATTTGTGGGATGTGGGCGTTGCTGGCTGACCAGCATTTCTTGCCCATCCCTAGTTGCCCTTGAGAAGGTGGTGGTGAGCTGCCTTCTTGAACTGCTGCAGTCCTCCAGCTGTGGGTTGACCCACAATGCTATTAGGGAGAGAATTCCAGGATTTTGACCCAGTGACAGTGAAGGAACGGCAATATATTTCCAAGTCAGGATGGTGAGTAGCTTGGAGGGGAACTTGGAGGTGGTGGTGTTCCCATATGTCTGATGCCCTTGTCCTTCCAGTTGGAAGTGGTCGTGGTTTGGAAGGTGCTGTCTGAGGATCTTTGGTGAATTTCTGCAGTGCATCTTGTGGATGCACATACTGTTGCTACTGAGCATCGGTGGTGGAGGGAGTGGATACTTATGGATGTAATGCCAATCAAGCGGGCTGC